CATTGATTCTCTCACAAACTTGTACATGAGACAATAATAATTAATATCGTCATATTACTTGTTAGTTAAAGACTTCAGACAACAGCAGTACTTTTAAAACTCATTAAATATTTTTAAACAATTTCTTATATTTTCAATAGTAATATATTTTCAATAGTAATGATAGATATATATGCGAATACAAGCAGTTCATTCAGTGGACTAAAATTAATTATATCATTTATGTTTGTTAACAATGGCATAGAAAATTATGTGGGTTAATGAATAAATTGTGGAAAAGAAAACACTAGTGTCTATGTTGAAAAAAATATTTCATTTGCTCGTTGTTTCCGCCTTCAATAGGAGCGCAGGTTTATGCATGCACTTGGCTCCGGGCTACACTATGTGTGCGTGTGTATTCCAGCTAGTCATACTACTTAGTTTTCCTGACAGAACAAAGTAGGTGAATTTGGATCCGAACCTGCGATTTACTAGTTCATAGCAATTCACGAGATGAAAGTATCCAGACGGAAGTTAGATTAGCAGTAGTAGTATTTATATAGTAGTGAAGACTAAACTAGGACAATATGATCCTATTTGCATGAACGAACACTCAGAATTCAAGGTGTGGAATGATTGTAAACTCTGAGTTCTAAAGGAAAGACAAACGATGAATGAATCTGGATCGTTGCAACTGTTTCTGAGCCACCTTATCACCGAATGACATCAATTATTGTTGATGATAATCTCAAGAATCCTAAGTGAGATGGTCTACACAGACCTACGTGAATTAGATGCATTTTTGAAATTATTAGAGACTATTCATCAATACTTAAAGCATATATATTTTTATCAGTTATATAATCAACTTTCAATCTTCATCCACCATTGACTTGTAATTTGTTATCATTATATGGGATTGCAGGAATCTTGTAGAATTTTGTTGTCAAGTTGTTGAAATTTCTGTTCCTAAGCTTTTCCCAAACATTATTGATCGTCTAGAAGTGTATAAATGTATTTTTTTTCTAAATGAAGTCACTCACAAAATTCAACTGCGTTAGCTCGCATAGAAATATGTATTGATTTCGAATCTTTTAGATTTGATTTATTACCGAATTATTTTCTCAATGTTGTTCAACTATTATACTACGCCTACGCAACTTCAAAATTTTTTTTACATATCTGTTAAGTACGTGTTTTGTGCTCATTCTGGTTTACTACAATAACACCTTTAAATTTGTTCAGTTGGCTTCAACTTTTATTGACCTAACATCATTTAACAGCATATAGAGAAATTTACGAAACATTGTTTTTTGAATCAATAGAAACCAATCTATTACTTACTTACTTACGCGTGATACCCACAGTAGAACATAGATTACCGACTAGCATTCTCCAAATTACTCTGTCCCGAGTCTTGTTTTCCAGTTCTATCAAATTCTTGTTCATTCTTCTCATGTCTGTATCCAATATTCGGCTTAATGTGTACTTTGGTTATCCTCTTTTCCTTTGGCCTTGAGGATTCCAGGTCAAGGCTTGTTTTGTGACGCATTTGTGTGAAACCATCAAATAATTGATGTCATTTACCTTTGACAACAACGTCAAGATTTGCATTATGGGGTTGTGAAGATTGTTAAGTTTTTTGGTTAGGCGTTCGCCTACAATAACGAAGGTCCTGGGTTCGAATCCTGCGGGGTGCAGGAATCGTGGATGCGCACTGCTGAGGAGTCCCATACCAGGACGAAACGGCCGTCCTAATGGTGGTCTAACATTGATCGATTCATGGTTTCAAAAAAAGTGTCAAGATTAGAGATGTATAGGGTTTGTAGAAATAAAAGAAAATAACTTCTTAGCTAAGTATATCAAGTCATTTAGATTATATATGTTGTACAGTAATATTCAATTCATTTATCGAGTGCAGATTTCCGTACTTGATTGTAGATCACATTCCAATTGCGACAGGTAATAATACTCTCCGACTATCCAAACCTAAATAAGTGAAGAAGAGTTCAAACCTTGTGACATAGTGACTAAGGCTTGAACACCTTAGCTACTGAACCACTTCTCTATGCATAAAAATCTAATGTTATTGATGTATATATTAATTATTTAGTTGTGGTAAAAGTAGTAATAGTTCCATGACTGTTAATGAGAATCATAATAAATATACATGGATAATGATGATTTTTCTGTCCGGTCATCTGACCGGAGTCACGGTGACTCACACCGTTCAAGAGTTGATACTGTTACACATGTTTTGTATATACAAGCGTGGCTATACTCAAGAGAAAAGACAGAGTGAGGGAGGAAGGATATTTAGCTAAACCGAATCAATTATGTGCAGATTCATTTACATATACATCCCTTGGAAAATTGATATTAGAAGTAGCTTATGTTTCAGCGTATGGAAAAGATAGCCATTTCTCAACTAATCACATGCAATTATTATTTGGCGATTAATTGAGCCTACTAGAACAGAAGGATTTTTCTAGTTTGATATCTCTATTAACACCTAATACTACAACAGCTCTCCATCCACTTTCGGTGAGCGAAACGTGAAACCTAAATTACAATCTGCAAGCCTCCATACAGTTCTTAAGAAAACTCTTTTCATGAACATTGAGTTCAATGAAGATACTACTGCGGATATTTTGAAGATTTATTTGATGGAATCCTTTAAGAAGATTTTAATACCACCAGCCTCATCGTACTTTTCTGTGGCTCCATCATTCGTGCATACGTCAAGGATAAACTCTCAAATTGAGTCATATCAGTGCATATTTATGAGTTTCATTGCTGTCTTGTAGCAGGTTGCATCGGCCACATGAAGGTAGCGCTTTCTAATTGTATCTCTAAACATTATCCTGTATTGCTTTCGAGAGGCCAATGTAAAACGATTGACTGTTCAACATTAGAACATCTTGTGTACTCTGGTCATATGGCCTTCACCTTATATATGTCCTTTAAAATCATACTTAAAGTCAGAAGATACAACTTAAATGTCCTACTATTTGAAAATGGACTATTTTATTTATCAGTTGACTATGAATATGATTGTATAACTTCAGTAAATGATATGGTCACAAGGAAAATGTTCTTCGCTGAGTTATTTTTAATTCTTCCCTGATATTACCCATTACTTCCGTTAATATTATCATAATTATTGTTGCCAGTGTAGTTAACTTCCACCCTTTCGTCATACTTTATGATTTACTCATAAATCAAGTAAAAATTTATATACTCGGCTTCTTGACACACTTCTTTTGTATGTAAAGATTAGCGACACTACTCGATTTCCCTAACGGATATAGTAAGTGTAGCTGGATTCAAACTCAAAATTTAGCAATCAAAAGCTAAATAGTGTTTTCAGAGTAATAAACGTAGCGTTCGCTAAACATTCGGCTTTTATTTCGTGTGTGTCCATGTGTATTCCATACTATATGGAGAAAGAGAGAAAATCCCTTTTGGTTGCGCAATCGACATTTATAGCTTTTTTACCTGCCCTATATGTGTACAAGTATACGAGTACATCCTACTTCAACGTTTTCAATACATCTCAGAAATTATATCCTGTCTCAGTCAGTCAGATGCAACATAGAACTTCGTACGTAAGTACATCAGTTCATGTTGCCATACAACATTAGCACAGCAATGTAATTGTCAATTCAAATCCTATAGTAGTAGAGGTGTAGTGAACGAGAACACAGGTGGGGCAACCGAATTGTATTTAACGAAAATTACAGAGTTACTCAGTAAAATCGGAAAACCATATCGTAAATCGTATTAATTTGCAAAATATCAGTTCATCATATCGAACTGGACTGTTCCTGTTGCAAAACAACAATCGATTGTCACTATTCATGCGTTTCATACAAATTCCATTGTGTTCTTCTAACTCTTCCTATCTTGATCTTCCCCCATCTTCTGCTGCCAGACATTAGGTTGACACTCACGTCATATACTACTTATAAGTAGCTCGCACCACAGTGGTAGTAAAGGTATTAGCAGTAATCGGAGAGTTTCGGATTAAAAGATATTATTCACGAAGTACGATTCAGTGAGATAAATTTAGAAAGACAAAGGTAGATGTGTTGATTAATCCAGAAGATTAGGATTTGACGGAACACAAAGAGTGGATGCAAACGATTTTGAGCCATGTAGTTCAAGGTCTCTAACCATTGGTTACTTTCGTCTAGCGGACCCCAACCAGGTAGTCTACATCTACCAACATGACTCAGTCCATTTGTCAGAGACTTCATGGATTTCTGCCGTGTTTTGGTCTGGCCGTCCCTAACTTTCTTCCAACCTACTCCTACACTACAAAACATAGCTCGTCGAGGCAGTCGATGGTTAGCCATACGTAACACATGTCCCAACCACCTCAACTGATGAAGTTTCACTACTTCATCTATTGATCTGCCATCCTAACCTAGTACTCGTTTCCTAACGACAGCATTGCTTACTCGGTTGTCCCACGATATACGAGCGATGCTTCTTAAACATCTATGATCGAATACTAGTAACCTACGAACATTATCTACTCTGCTGCACAGTACACTCGACCTTTGGTTAGCAAAGGGATATCTCGCTTACGCCATAAATGACGTAAATTGGCAAATGCCAATCGAGCTTTCTGTATCCGCGCTGAGATTTTGTCAGTCACCAGGTCATCAGCACTGATGAGATGATGATGATGATGAGTGAAGCGGTTATTAAGGATTTGATTGTGACTAATTTAATCTCGTGTGCTTTTATAGGTGTGAGGGTGGATGTTACTTCCCGGCTGCCCACACCTTGGGAGGTTCACATTTCTAACTTCAGTCAGTTTACGAAATTGCTTAACCATGATTAATGAGCATCGTTGATATTTTTCTCATACCAGCCATACAGTTGAGGTCCAGTGATTAACGTTTTGCATCTCCACGTGCTTGTTTACTCTGTTTTGCTTTAATACTAATCAATGATAATCGATTATTTTAGATTTCCTTGTGATAAATATATCATTATAATGCATTTTGTAGAGTACATCCTTTAAATCCAACTCAATTAATTTTACGAGGTGCATCATTAAAGAATACAAAATGGATTTTCGGTAAGTTTTCCTTTCTTATCACAAATTACTTATTGTCACTTCTCTCTTTTTTCATGTGTCCATGCGATTTCTGTCTTCCTTTAACTCCTTTAATAACACAGCTTCTCTCAGTTTATTCACTTAAACTGTTGTCTTTTTTGTAATGTGATGTAATTTTTAATTCATTTTCGCTAAAAATATCCATTGTTTTTTAACCAGACTATACTATTACCATTGTTATCCATTACATTTTTGCCATTGATAGGTTTAGCTGTGTATACTGGCAAAGAATCTAAAGTGATGCTGAATTCAACAGCAGCTCCTTTGAAACGATCAACAGTTGAACGTCAAACTAATTCTTATGTGAGTGGGCTTATTCTCTTTTTCGTTTGCTTTTCTTTGTCATCGTCTCTGAAAATATTTGGTTTTCAACCTACATTACAAATAGTATAAAACAGTAACTACAGGTGTTTTTTCATATAACAGACGGGGTTGTAGTTATGAAAAGAATTTTGGATGCGGACTCGTCAGCTGGTCTGCAAATGCCTTGGTGCGTCCGAGAGTGGAGAGAGCCCGTTCTCCCTCTCTAAATGCTCTCACATGACCACGCGTATATGTACGCTGACAGGGAAGTCGTGCTCGCTTCCCTCTTGTGGTGTGTGTTTAAAAAATTGACGGGATCAAAGCGAATGCCCGACTGTAGCCTAAACCGAGAGAATCCAGTCAGGGAAGCTGGGGAACTCTGTTTTCAAAATGATGGTGAAACAGCCTCCAAGACCTTGAGGAAACATTAGCGTATTAGCCTGTTGTTGGAAATCGGCTATCATAAGACTCTATGTTTCAACGTCGCCCCACGATCTTGTGGATTAGACGTGTAGGTAAAAGGGTGGTTGATCGTCGTTCTAAGAAGAGCATGTTTTGGCAACCCGTACAATATCTGATTCTACACACGAATTCGTTTGTTTGTGTGGTGCATAAATATTTAGGTGCTTATTTTTAACAATAATTATGTGTTTAACTAAATAAATAATAATAATAATAATACTTATCACCTTAGTGCACCTCGAACTCTTAGTGTGTTACTGATGTTCACGCTGAAACCCAAACCATTTACCCTTCACTTTGAACACCTAACATGTCATTTAGCTACTGAGTCCTTGTAGTCATTCATTTGTGTATCGAGTATGGTATACAAGTTCATTTTAAAACGGGGCTTCAAGAGACCAGGAATAACGTTTCGGGAATACGAATCGTTTGCAGCAGAGGTGCGGGGTTATAAAGGAATGTGCGAAGAGTTAGTCGTGAAAATAAGGGGGATGTTAGGGGGTGTAGGAAGGATTTGATTGTTAATTTCCTAATGAATTTTCCTTTTAGACACTAAATTTTACTCATTTTTTAATCATTTACGGATTCATGTTCTTAGCTCTCAGCCATGTTTTTATACATATCAGACACAGTGCAAACGAAATTCAATCCAACATTCCAGTGTACTAAAGATATATATATATATATATATATATATATATATATATATATATGAATTTTAAATATCAGTTCATTAGTTGTTTCATCATAATATGGGATTCCTCAAAGGTACGCATCAATAACTCCACCATTGATTGGAACTCAGGACTTTCAGACTTGACAGATCGTTCTACTCTTAAAAACGCTCAATGGCACACATTCAAAACTTCAATTAATTTACAATATAACATGAGGACTATTTAAATCCATTGGAAACAACCTTTTAGCTTCCAACATCTCTGAACTCAACCAGTTAAGCTCATAAATCCTGGCTTCTACCCCTCATTCGGGTTGTGAGTGTCAACTGCTGAAAAGTTTCATACCAGGATGAAAAAGCTTTCCAGTCCTACCTAGTTTTCAATCATAACCCAACTGATTTTAATCTGTGATAAGTTCAACCTATAAATCTTCAATATTCGTTTAAGTTTATAGTTTTTGTGAAGGTGATCATAGGAAATGACGAAGCATAAGAGAAATTTGTTTCCTCCTAGTGATAACCGCAAAGCTCATCTAGGCATTTGGTGGCGGCTGTTTCGCTCCTAACACAGCTTACGTTACACCCCGCGCTGATATAAAATATTCCCATTCTAAATAATTCCTCCTTTTCACATTGTTTCTAAATCATCCAATCGCTCACATATTTGATAGTCGATTATGTTAGTTAAGAGGTCTAACTTACAAATATAATTAATAGTTTACTTAATGATTTTATGATGTGCGGCGTTCAAGCTCCGAACGTCAGTACATGTTAGCTCCTTACACTGGCTACTTGAGTGCGAGAAGTAAAGTTTACTTAGCAATTTACACTGACATTCATTTATATGTCAGTTAGTCAGTTGCAACGTAGAATTTTGTGCGTACGTACATCAGTTCAAGTTGTTATACCACAGTAGCGCAGAGACGCAGTTGTCGATTCAGATCCCATAGTAGTAGAGGTAGTAGAAGTATTCGTATATATATATTTTTCCGTTAGAGAATGAATCCATTTCTTGATCAATGATATAGGTCTGTCCTTTAGGACATTTCTGTTTGTTATCAAGTAACCTCATTTGACCACTTCTTTTTGGCTTATTATATCAAATTTACAGTAGTGAACGTACAATGCATCATTTCTACTTTTCTTTCTGTTATTTCATTAACTCTGTAAATTATGAACAAATTATTGTTGTTCTCTACAGAGTTTTACTTATTACTTATAATTCTTTCAATAATATCGATCTCTGTTGTGACCTTTTCCACCGTTATTCAGGGATATTTTCTTTATAAATGGATAATATTGATTGATACTGTTATGCTGGGTCACTAGATTGCAGTATAAGTAATTTATGCAAAAAGCTCATTGTTATTAGTATTTATTAAGTAAACATTCCGATTTTGTCGTACTCCATTGACATGAAAGATAATTTGGCTTATCACATAAGCATCGTTATCACCTTTCACTTATATCTTCGTTTTTCTCCTTGAAAATTCTAGATCTTATGTTTATTCGGAGTTCTACTCTTTTTGACTCTATTCACATTCATTGCGAATTTAATTTGGACATCATGGAATGAGAAAAAAATGTGGTATCTACAAGAAAATGGTATGTATTTGTGTATGTTAATGTATAAATCTACTTAAATACCAATTAACAAATTTGTTTATAGTTTATCGTTGATGTAAATATAATATTGACAGCTATATTCTTGTGGTGAAAACATGAGCATCTCAACTGAAAAATCAGTAGATTCATTCAATAGTTTATTAACTGCATTCAGTCGAAAGGCTAAGCATTCACGGGCTACAGCAAACGTCTTGGGTTCGATTCCTGCTCACGGGGTCATTGGTACCCACTGCTGATGAGTCCCGTACTTTGTGGAAACGATCATTCAATGCTTTTAATTGTGGCCTAACGTTGATTGATTTATGATGTCAATAAAATATCTCGTGATGTTGGAATCCACGATCTTTAAATTACTATGTTAGAAGTAAATGTATAGCTTACCAATAATGTTCACTGTTGACCTGCAGTTAAATGTAAAAACAGATGTCGCTTTCTGATAGTCGACACATTGATATAAAGTGATCCTGCTTGTCATAATACCCACATGTCGTGAATATGCGATTGCTCTATGTATAGAGGAGTTGTGTAAATGAACTTATTTTCAAGATGCTCTAAATCGGGTCAAAATGTTAGTTCATGCGATTATGTATACATTTCTGCTATTGACATTCTAATTTTCTCATTGCGTGTTTATTGTGAAAAATTGGTCCATTCAACACAGGAAAAAAAGATTAATTTTTCACTTTTGCCATTTTAGTCTGTCAGTCAACAGAAGTTTTAAACTAAGATTAAAATTTTGATAGAAATTTGTAGGTTTACTTGTTGACTTACGAGATAGGATACGTTTCCGCGAATTTGTTGGGCAGTTGCCTCTCAGTTGTTAATGTGTATCGTTTTATCCGTTCATTTATTCGATGGATGCTTCAACGAAGAGCATAATTTTCACTGATTAAGCTTGAATTTTCATTTCATTTGCTATCTTTATTCGGTAGTTGGGGATGCGCTATGGTAGCCTGTTTATAGAAGAGATATGTAGATAGATTTGCGTAAATAAATTGAAGTATACAATGAAAATTAAATTTTTTTATGCAACATTAACACTAAACTAGAAGAAATGCACTTGAAAATGCTAGATGTTACACTTTTAGTCTTAGTATGGAACTCATCAGCAGTTTTCATTCACAATCCTGCTCGCATCTGGTTGTCCAACCAACGATTTTTGGTCTAACGCACATGGACCCTTAACATTTGGATCATTGAGCTATAATCTAATGGTGTGAAACTCAAATTTCAATCAGTCCACGATAGTACGCGATCATCTCCCATTGTTTTTAGTGGATAACTTACTCACACCCAACTCTTGATCTTTATTAGTCACGAATTCTAATTAGAACTCTGAAAATTTGCTGTCGAAGCTGGTCACCAGTGAGCAGATGATGATTGTCAGTATACTAGATTTACATTGCTGAGGAGTTTGATCGGTTCGTGATTTCAATGAAATTCAACAATCTTCACAACTATATACTGATATTTATTTTTTGAAAACAATTCATTTTCTTTGATATGTAAATATATTTAATTTACTAAACAGTAGAGATAACTAAGAAACTGCTCTTGATCTTAGCTCAGAGAGCCGTACACCCGTGGGAGGGTATACGTTCCGGCTGACCTTGTGGGACAGACTCGAACTTTAGCTTCATGTGGGGTCTGAGGGCTCCGGTCGATTGTATCAGCGCAAGGCAGTTGGAGGCCAGACGGTTGGAACGGATGCTGGTTATTGTACTTCTGGGTGGCTCGGTATTCGGTTCGGGGCTCCAGGTCTAGCTGGGAAAGCCCGCCTTGCCGATTGGGGATTGTGGGTAGTGGATTAGTTGGAGGGATCTTGTTGATTCATAGGTGCCCGAACGAGGGCCACTGCTCGTGCGCGTGCTTTTTGGACGTCCACTTGTCTGCCGACCAATCTAGACAACATGTGCATTCCCGTCTGGGGTAGGGGTGATCGCAATATTGGCTCTTGTGAGAATCCTTGTGTTGCTTAAAATGCAGCGGCATGCATGTGCAGCAGGCATGCTGGTTAACCAAGAATATAGAGATAACTAAGAAATGTGTTAGTTCATGTTAGTGTTTAATAATACTTGCTGTTTATTAATTCAGTTGCTTATTCGAACGCTGTTCCGCCAACACTCTGTACAAGTCTGACTTTAAGCTGAGTTTGTTTATTTGTGTACTTTATTAATGGGTTATATACATATATCTTTAAAAATGATACGCTTTGAAGATTCCTAATGTCTTGATTATTACTCATGTGATGAAATAGTCTTAAACAACATATTGTGTTTTATATTGATATCGAATGTTAGACTGCTAGTCTGTCAGTCAGTCAGATGCAACATAGAACTTTGTACGTAAGTACATCAGTTCATGTTGCAATACCACATTAGCACAGAAATGTAATTGTCGATTCAAATCCAATAGAAGTAGAGGTAGTAAAGGTATTAGCAGTAATCGGAGTGGTTCGGATTAAAAGAAATTATTCAAGAAGTATGATTCAGTGAGATAAATTTAGAAAGACAAAGGTAGAGGTGTTGATTAATCCAGAAGATTAGGTAGTCTACATTTACCAACATGGTTCAGTTCACTTGTCAGAGACTTCATGAATTTGTGTCATGTTTTGGTCTGGCCGCCCCTAACTTTCTTCCAACCTACTCCTGCACCACAAAACATAGCTCATCGCGGCAGTCGGTGGTTAGGCATACGCAGCACATGTCCGAACCACCTCAACTGATGAAGTTTCAATACTTCATCAACTGATCTGCCATTGTAGTGGCAGCATTACTTACTTGGTTGTCCCACGGTACATGAGCAATGCTCCTAAGACATCTGTGATCCAATTCTAGTAACCTACGAATATCTTCTACTCTTAACGACCATGTTTCGCATCCATAAAGAGTCCATTCGTGAAGAGTCAGGGGACTCACATCGATTTGTCAATTCAGTATGACTGGGAATCGTGGGCAACCGAAGTGTGGCTCGAGGCCAGTTGAACTGGGCCCTAAAGTGTTCTGCCCATCGGTCCAGTCTCCTGTATTGAGAATGGGTAATAAGACCATCCTTTTCCAAGATAGTCTCACTCACATTCGGGTTCCTAATACCGGTTTCTTTGATAAGGCGGAAAAGTTGTCTACTGTCGCCGTTGCCTTTTCCATCGCTTTTGCTTTGGCCACCCACCACTGTTCTCGATCATTGCGTAGGCTTTTTATAAGTCTGCGCCTAAGCTGACTACGCTCTTCATCATGTTCAGAGTCAGGTGGGATGCGTTTTCGAGCATCCATCAGTTCGGTGGATGCGACTGAAATCCACGACTTCATCCTAGCCTTATGGTTTACCTTGCTAGCAGATATCACTGCTGTTTCCACAGCCTTTTTGATATCATTCCAACCTGCCTCCGGATGGGAATCGCTTAAACGGTCGCCTAACTGTTTTTCTAGTTGTTCCTGAAATATATTCCTAGCTTTATTATCATTAAGTAAAACCCTAAGAGGCTTCCTTGCGGTGTCTTTCCTACGTCCAGTAAGCCTCAAACAAATACGAGCTCGTACAAGGGCATGATCTGAATCTAAACATGTGACCCACAACGAGCGAAAGTCCTCTATCGAACCTCTCCATCGGTGGCTGATGGCGATATAATCTAGTTGCGTCCAACGTTGAGACGACTTCGGGGGTCGCCAGGTCAAAAGGTGCTTTTCCTTATGCTTAAAATTAGTGTTTGCTAGAAATAGTTGGTTATCTGAGCACAGTTGCAACAGACGGTCGCCATTGTGTGTTCTTTGAGACGCGACACCATAAGATCCACCCAGGTGTCTTTCATTTTCACCTAGTCTACCTACTTGAGCATTGAAGTCACCAGCCATTATTACTACATCAGAGCGCTTAACGTTTTGGAGGAGGTCCGAAAGCTTTCTGTAGAACTCATCTTTTATATCGTTTGGACTGCAGTCAGTGGGGGCGTAGGCTGATATGACGAAGAGGCAACGACGAGTGTCCCTATCCTTTCGTATCCTTACTGTCCCGTTTAGTCGGACAGCGCACAAGCGACTATCTACAGGGATCTAGTCAAGAAGAGATTGTTCTGCCCTACGACTCAATGCTATACCTACACCAGCGAGACCCCAGGAAGCAGCATCAGGGCTACCGGATGCACGAAGGGTAAATCGAGTTGCTTCTTTATCTTGACATGGTGAGGTCAAGTGAATGATGCTACTCGAATCCTGTATGCGCGTTTCCGAGACGCAGCACACATCGATGGCACGAGATTCTAAAGTCCCAGCTAATGATGCACGTTGCCCTATTTGACATAATGTACGTACATTAAATGCTCCAACATGCAGTCTAGAACAGGGTTTATGGAGACCGGGAACGACATTTCGCGAACTCGCATCGTTTGCATTAGCGGTGCACTGTGATTAATGAATGTGAGAAGAGTTAGTCGTGGAGATAAGACAGGTATTAGGGGGTGTAGGAAGGATTTGACTTTGAACGATTCGGTCTCGTGTGATGTTACGGTTATGAGGGCGGTTGTCACTTCCCGGCTGCCCACACCGTGGAAGGTTGTTTCTAGAGGAACCTGAAAAGGAAGATAGATTAGTGTTGGTCTTGGGGACCTGGGTGCGTGACCACAGAGCCCAAGGGACAACTGCTTGAGGCCGGTCACACACGGCCTTTTTATGAAAGGTTTTTTGAGGATTAGCTCCGCTCTTAAAAGCCCTTACTGGGCAGACACCCTTACCACCGGGGACGGAAATCCGTGAGGTAGGGTGAGGTGTGACATTTTTAGGGTCGACTTTTTCTAACTCTTCCTTCCTTGTGAGAAGGCAGCATCGCTGCAGATGCTGGTTATCCGAGGGAAACACCTTACTGCTTTCACACCCCTCTGCAGTCAGCAGTACGACTTCGCCCTCAGACCTTGGGTAGTTGCTTTTAGTCTCATCGCTCTCCAATCGACCTGCTTGTCATGGTAGAACTTTCAGGAACATAAGTTCCAGCCAATATGGCTCGGTTGGGTCATCAGGATAGGCAAGCCCGACTACCACGTCAAGGTAGCAGCTACCGTCGAGTGTTGGACTGCTAACTTCACAACAGACATTAAATTAGTTTGTAGGTCATTGTCTTCATAATTCTAGTAGAGCAGTCAATCCGCAGAATGCAAAGTATGAGACAATTTCAAGGCATTGAATTTGGAGAATAGTAGAAATTGAATATTTCCTGTTCACTTTGCTGATTTTGAGCGAGATCAGGCAACATTTCTATCACTAGTTATGATAGTCACCCACTCGAAACATATAATAGTCCGTACATTAATCAGTCAATCAACAGCAACGTAGAACTTCGTACGTGCCTACGTACATCAGTTCAAGTTGCCCTTCTTCATTAGCACAGAGACGCAGCTGTCAGTTCAAATCCCATAGTAGTAGAGGTAGTAAAGTTATTAGCAGTAATCTGAGAGATTAGGGTTAGAATATATTATTCAAGAAATGGAATTTAGTTAAATAAACCGATAAAGAAAAAGATAAAGTGATGAGGAATTAAGAAGTTTAGGATTTGAGAGAACCCAAGAGTGGATGCACCTGCGCCATTGCAAACGGTTTTGAGCCATGTCATTCAGGGTCTCTAAGCATCGATTATTATCATCTCGCGGATCCCAACCAGGTATTCGACACCTACCTACACGTCAGTCTGTACATATCGTCATGGCTTCGTTCATAAGTCAACGTTTTCATGGAGTGATATCATCTTTTGTTTTAACTAAACGTATTTTTTTCCAAGCCTACTTCTGCCTCAGTAAACGTCCATTTTTGACGTTAGATGTGGTTGAACATACGTAATTCTTGTACAAACCACTTCATTTGATAGAAGTTCACAATCTCGTTAAGCGGTTTACATTGTTTACTGAATACCTTGCATCTGACCTTAGCATTAGTTATTCGATGCTCTTAACATACGTCCTCAATGCTTCAAATTGTGTTTGTGATCAAATTCTGATATCCTTTTTTTCAAGGATTAGGTAAATTTGGAACAAATATTCTCCACTTTTAAACGACAATGTTTTTACTCTTAAATATCAATGAAACTGTAATTCAATTCAATTTCATTATTTTATTAAACTAATTAACAATGAGAAAAAAAGACAGGATGTACTCAATTGGTGATATGTAAATTTAGATTGAATGAATACCTGAACCACATGTTATCGACATAGCACATACTACACACACATCACTTCAAGGTTAACTTGTAAATTAGTTAGTTGGTCGACAATCATAACGACAATATCAATCAGTTGAAATCTTATATTTAAATTAATTATTGGAAATCAAACATTCTCTGTCACAAACTCACATACAGAATACGGAACGCGTCATGAATATGAGTGTAATGTGACTGTTTCAATCTATGTGACAGTGTACAATAGAAATGTGGCTTTGTCTTCTTTGATATTAGTTCCTTTCTGTATTTCATGTATATGTATATGTGTTCATACACTTCATTGGTCATAGATATTATTTCAGTTTAGCTTAATTCTTTTAGTATGAATAAGACGGACGTTCGTTATAAATGGCCTTTATAAGTAACTAAATGAGTTTAAGTATCGTTCCATTGATGTGAAGCACTCAGTCTGTCAGTCAATCAGTCATATGCACTGTGGAACTTGGTATTAGTGTACATCGGTTTTAGTTTCCATAAAACATTAGTACATTGATTGGAAATTGTTAAGGTCAATCTGTAAGAAGTTGAGATAATAATAGTATTATTAGTAATAGAAAAGTTCAAGACACCGAAGGTGCTATTCAAAAGAAGGAAGCACTCAAAAATTTTGAGAGTTGAGTACATTTTTGATTTACTGTGATGAGCATTGAAGCAATGTCAATGATAATGACGACGTAGATTGTTTTGCGATCCAATCTCTGAAAGTGTTACAATGTAGGTTATATATTACGGAAATTAGTGCGTGGTTAGTAGTAGATAATTTAAACATAATCAGTTCTGAAATGCTTAAAAAATGCTTAGTAAGTACAAATGATTACTTTTCGCTTGTAGAAATTTTTATTCTTTATAAAAGTTTCTTATTCTTGTGGTAAAAAGAACACAATAGCATAGTTCTGTTCATTGAAAAAGTTGATTTCATTTGAGGTTCTAGTAAATGGTAGACAGATCGGTTGAGAGTGTTCATCACAATAGATCACAGTGAAGTAATCTCCACAAAACCTGACAAAATTATAGTTATGCAGTCTCTAATGGAGTAGGTAGAAGTTCTTAAACTGTCGTTATGACTAATGCAGTTCAGAAATACGATAGCCGTCACTAATAGCGTCTAGCAATTGTCGTGATACATTATGAATCGTCTCAAGATGAGAACATGTTCCATGGACGTCCCAACTTAATTATCTGTTGGTCTAGCGTGAAACCTGGAAATCGAAGGTTCGATCTACTATTGCTGGTAAGGGTAGTGGTTGAGAATTGTTGAGAAGTCCTTTACTAGGAGTAAACATCTACTTCACGATCTCTGGCTTTAATGTTTACTTCAACTAAGATCAGTTCGTGATAAATACCATCTAAATATAAATATACATATTTCTTCAGCAAAACTAACCGCTGAAATACATCCTATATGATACAATTCAATCAGTGTTCATAACCAGACATATTTTCTCACTACGCTCATCATCTATTCACAACTCCGTTTCCCACTCCCCCAAGTCCGTTTGCCTATGTTTATACTATACATTTATTTATAGCTGATACTAGAAACCATCTTCGACGTTTACTGGATTTTATCACCTGTCTCATTTTGTATAATACCATCATACCAATCAGTCTACCGGTGATGCTTGAAGTTGTGCGATTTATACAAGCATTGTATATTAATTGGGTGAGTAGTTTTCTTGTTTCTTGCCTATTTCGTGCGATATTTTGATCAGCGTTTTCCAATAAGAAGAAAGTGTACTGCTGCTTTATTGTATATCGAGTTATTGTTTTTAAAATTTTGTTTTTCGCTCGTAATTGTGTTTGTTGGCTCTATCTTCTCTCTGTTTTGTTTCTTTCTTTCTGCCTCTATGTAAAATTGCCCATCTTCTCTGCTCGCCTGCAATTGTGTATGTAAAAAAACACAAAACAAAACATAATACCCTGTGTGCGTTACATGTGTAAATGGTCGTGATTTGGATCATGATTCATTTTACTGTTGTTGTTATCAATGTCATTTGTGCTTTGTTTTAATATTTTCTCTCAATGAATGTATATATATATATATATCATCTATACGCTACTCTTTTATATTAATTTATTTTCTTCATCCTATGTTGCTTACACACACGTATACACATTCATATATACTGTTGTTGTCGCTGTGCCTGTTGCCTATATGGATTCTATCGTCTGCTGCTACTCACTTCATATCTGACTTTATCTGTGTTTCGACGTGGTTTCACTCTTCAATTTATACATCCAAACTTATCTTCATTATATTTGTTATTCGTATGTCTGCCTGAATGTGCTGTCGGGGTGGTGGTTGGGTGGTGATTTTCATTTGCAACACTCTATGTTTCTATTTATTTATTTTTATATGTTGTGTATCTTCTTGCTCATGCCCTGGTCACTTGCTGTTTTCCTTTCTCTCTGTTACGCAAATCATTTCACTTACTGACGTTTGGTCTTTTCCCCTGGCTCTAATCCTCGTCGGTTTCTTCTCGGAACCGTATTGTACTACTTGTGTGTATGCGTATGTGTACATGTGTGGTGTACTTGTGTGTTTACCAAATTAAACATTATATTATTACGAACGTAATTATGTGTCCACAACATAAACATGTATTCTTGTTTTTCGAACATAAATCCATTCATTCGTCGTTTAATTTTGGTGTATTAATGACGATTTCCACTGATATTATTATTATTATTATCGCCATCATATATACATATATATTTTCCACAATTAAACAAATTTAGGTGAAATAACTCTACATTATGCAGTTAATATGTTAATAACATCATTTATCATGTATCATACTATGGTACCGATTAGTTTACAAGTTTGTCTGGAAGTTGTCCGCTTGGTTCAGGCATTATTATTAAGTTATGTATGTTATGGAGTTGAAGTGTTTTATAATTAGTTACTTACTGACTTATCTAATAACGTTCCTTACCCATTGTGAAGCATATATCGACAACTTAGAATCTTTAATCTACTGTGTCCTGGACTCGTCAGTCTTTTCTAAGTGCTGTTCACGCTTTCGTTATTTGCCTCCGATTCTCAGCGCAATGTATTCTTTTCCTTCAGGATTTTTAGGGTTTGTTTTGTTTTGTAAGTTGGTAGTTTTTGTAGTGTGGTCTATCCACCTCTAGTGTTTTTTCTTGTTTCCTCTTTAGCTAGAAGCTGGTTTTTACTCTGCCACTGTAGATTGTTACTGATGATAACTTACCAACGGATCTAGAGTATCTAACGTAGAAAACTGTTTATAAGTACCTGTCTCTAATTGATGTTGGTTGTAGTAGTTATCTAAGTTTCAGCTCTTTACCGTGAACTGATCTTGATGTTTTTATTGAAAATTGTGACTTCGAAGTCGTCTAACAGTTCAGACGTTCTTCAATCGTAGAAATGTCACCCTTACGTATATAGTTATTCCCATTTTATTTCGATTTGCTTTCTTAACCTTGCATTTATCCTTAAAGTTAGTTTATTTTGTTATTGTCACGGATATCGTATCAATTAGGCATTGAGGTCAATGGTCGTGGTAGAATACCATTAGACAGGATGAAGGGTAATTGTGTACCTATTTCACGTTAATCGTATGGAATTCTATCAGTGGATGCTAGGATCTTCGGGTCCGCTTACAAGTACACGATATTTAATCGGATGAGTTGTGATCCAGTGGCTCATATTTCCAACTTAGGTCCATAAATATGGCAGTATCTCATGGTGTGGCATGCAAAGAAGTTAAGATCAGATGAAATTTGTATATACTTGGAGAAAATGTAGTTTATTCACACAATATATGGATAATCTTTAAATACCCGTATTCCACCTAAGCTGGTTATTGACTGTCTTCTCTCATATCTATTCTGGTGTTCAAAACGCACTAATTCCATCATGCAGTTCGATATCCTGACGCTCCTCTCTGGTAGAAACTTCTGACATAACTCACTATGTGATTAACATCCACCTCATAATGGTATTATTGATGAGTGTCTGCTCGATCGTTTGTATCATGAATGAAACAACTCAATCATTAACCGGTCCCTCACCTAACCAATTCGCTATTTCTTCTCATCACCATCAGATCATGATTAAGCATTATCACTGAGTGCTAGTAAAATAAATAATTGAACCAAACATCTAATCAGTTATGTGTCTTGATTTTTCTTATTCATTCCTTAGTTGATGTCGATTTGTGACTTAAACCAAATTCGATCTAAATTGTATAAGAATGGATTTAATTTTTTTAAAAAAAAGAAAATATTATTTACTCATGAATAATTGTGTGGAAACTAATTACTATAAATATTTTCTAAAATATTTTCAATAACATCAACGTTTTATGGAGCGTTGGTATTTGTGTGGACTGTGTGTGTGTGCTGATTCCCCTTCTTGCCAAACAGTCAGTGACTTTTGAATTTGTCCATCATTCACTTTTGTTGTTATTGTCTCCCATATGTTTATATTTGTTCTATGTATTGTCTCTCGCTGCTCTGGTAATACTTGTATAAATCAGTTACTAGTATTTTTATGTTTCCTGTTTAAACAGTTAGATTGGTGTTGTGCTTAAATGGATTGTTGGTGTGTGTAGGTATACCAACTTGAATCGATAAACATTCACTTTTAGGTTATATATGTCGTTATATCGTCTGTTCGTTTAGTTCGGGAAAAACTTGGTATTATTTCCTCAAAAAATTGTTTTTAATTTCAATATTTGAAATGGGTGTCGTTTCTTGAATTTATGAATACTGTAAGTGAATATAACTTACTTACTTATGCCTGTTCCCCCCAAACAGAGCATAGGCCAACGACCAGTATTCTCCAACCTGCTTTGCCTGGGCTGCTCTTTCCAGTTCTGTTCAATTTTCGTTCATCCTTCTCATGTTTGTCTCCATTTCTCGGTGTAATTTGTTCTTCGGCCTTCTCCTTTTCCATGTCCTTGAGGATTCTAAGTGAGGGCCTGTATTTTGATGCAGTTGGGTGCTTTCCTCAATGTGTGTCCAATCTACTTCCACCGCTTCTTCCTGATTTGTTCCTCCGCTGGAATCTGGTTTGTTGCTGATGGTGTCTGGCCAACGAATCCGAAGTATTTTGCGTAGACAACTGTTGATCTCAAAGTTAGGCGTGTACGAAGTCCTTCACTCTGTTTAACAATACTCTTTTGAAGAGTTTGTCTGGTAGTGAGAGAAGAGTGATGCCTCTGTAGTTCTCACACCTGCTGAGATCGCCTTTCTTTGAAATTTCGATGTGATATCCTTCTATCCAGTCTGTTGGTACTTGTTCCTCATCCCAAATCTTGTTGAAGAGAATGTGAAATATTTTTGCAGTTACTCCCACATGTGCTTCCATTACCTCTGCTGACATGTCTGGTCCTACTTTTCTGCCGCTCTTGATTTGCCTGATCCCCATACTGATCTCTTCAATTGTTGGTGGGCCAACATTGATGGGATGTTGCTTCGATGTTGGGTGGGTCCAGGGGGGCTGGTCGATCTAGAAGTTCCTGAAAATGCTCTATCCACCTATTTCGCTGTTCTTCAGTGTTGTTGATTACTTTGCCTTCCTTGCTTTTCACTGGTCGTTCTGCTTTACGATAGTTTCCGGCGAGCTTCCTTGTTGTTTCGTACAATTGTCTCAAGTTCCCGTCTCTTGCAGCCATTTCTGCCGTCATTGCTAGATCTTCCACATATTTTCGTTTTTTAGCTCTGATGCTCTTCTTCACTTCCCTGTTTGCTTCTGTGTGTGCAGCTTGTGCCCTAACTTTCTCTGCTCTTGTTCGGCTGACATTCACTGCAGCCTTCTTGTTCCTCCTTTCTTCAATTTTTGCAAGAGTATCAACAGAGATCCATTCCTCGTGATGGTACTTCTTGTGACCCAGAAGTTCGTGACATGTTGGAGTGATTGCCTCCTTAATCCCTTTCCAATTGTTCTCCAATGTTGCGTCCTCTCCATTGAGTAGATCCTGAAAGGCCTGGAACCTATTGGTGAGGGCTATCTTGAATTCGTTGAGTTTTGCGGTATCCCGAAGAAAGGCTGTATTAAACTTCTGTGGTGTTGTCTGCCCTGCTGTCCAGTGCTTCTTTAGCTTCAGTTTCATTTTGGCGACCAACAAGTGGTGATCTGAAGCTATATCAGCTCCTCTCTTGGTTCTCTCATCCTTCATGGTCCTTCTGAACGTTTGGTTGATACAGATATGATCAATTTGGTACTGAGTAGTGTAGTCCGGTGAAATCCATGTGGCTTTGTGTATGCGTTTGTGCGGGAATATTGTGCCACCGATGACCAGTTTGTTGAAGGCACATAGGTTTGCAAATCTCTCACCGTTTTCGTTCCTTTCTCCCAGTCCATATCGTCCCATAATGTCTTCATATCCAGTGTTGTCCATTCCAACCTTGGCATCCAGTTCTCCCATAAGAATCGTCAAATCCTTTGGTGAACACTTCTCGACGATTGACTGCAGCCTTTCGTAAAATTGATCTTAAACGTCGTCATTGTAGCCATTGGTAGGTGCATAACATTGGATGACGTTCATTGTAATGTCCTCTTTCTTTGTTTTGAAGGATGCTTTAATGATCTTGGGTCCATGAGATTCCCATCCTATCAGTGCGTTTTGTGCATGTTTGGACAGCATCAATGCAACTCCTTGTGTATGTGACGCATTTTCCTCTTCATGATCAGAG